AACTTGGCCAGAGTGAGAGGCAGCTCTAGCCTGTCTCAGTCACCCACGCTGACCGTCAGGAGCTTGGTCCAGAGCACCCTGCAGGCTTTGGTCGGCTCTGGGGAGAACAAACTGGTGTAGAAGGCCCTGGCCCATCCATGCATCGCCTCCTTCCAAAAGGCAGGTGATATGATTTTTGGCCCCCCTCGTTTTCTCCAGGGCATAGAAGAAGCAGAAGCTATGATCCATCTCCCGAATGAGACGGATGCGGGATCGAACAAAGGCACCCTGGGATTGATGGTCCTTGAGGGCCCGGAGTACCTCCTGCTTCTCCCGGTACACTTTGCGGAGGGGTGGATCCTTGTGGTTGGATGGCAGTCACCTCTCAAGCTTCTAAACCTCCTGCTCCAGGTGCTCTATCGCCTCATCCCTCCAACGGCTGGTGCCCTGGAAGAAGTCACCTTCCCCACATCCCACTGTTGCCACACCGAGGGAGAGGCAGGCCACTGCTCCCGCCAGGATACCACGAAGCCCACGTCCTCCAAAGCCTATTGTTAAAGTGCCTGTAGGCGAGCCCCCACCTCTCTCAACTTAGAGGCCATCAGATGGTGGTCCGTGAATGGGGCCGACCAGATGCTGGAAAACATAAGAACATAAGAACGGCCGTACTGGGTCAGACCAAAGGTCCATCTAGCCCAGTATCCTGTCTACCGACAGTGGCCAGCACCAGGTGCCCCAGAGAGGCAATGATCAAGCGATTTGTCTCCTGCCATCCCTCTCCAGCCTCTGACAAACAGAGGCCAAGGACACCATTTTATCCCCTGGCTAATAGCCTTTTATGGACCTAACCTCCATGAAATTATCTAGCTTCTCTTTAAACTCTATTATAGTCCTAGCCTTCACCGCCTCCTCTGGCAAGGAGTTCCACAGGTTGACTACACGCTGTGTGAAGAAGAACTTTCTTTTATTAGTTTTAAACCTGCTACCCATTAATTTCATTTGGTGTCCTCTAGTTCTTCTATTATGGGAACTAATAAATAACTTTTCTTTATCAGCCCTCTCCACACCACTCATGATTTTATAGACCTCTATCATATCCCCCCTCAGTCTCCTCTTTTCTAAACTGAAAAGTCCCAGTCGCTTTAACCTCTCCTCATATGGGACCCGTTCCAAACCCCTAATCATTTTAGTTGCCCTTTTCTGAACCCTTTCCAAGGCCAAAATATCTTTTTTGAGGTGAGGAGACCACATCTGTACACAGTATTCAAGATGTGGGCGTACCATAGTTTTATACAGGGGCAGTAAGATATTCTGGGTCTTATTTTCTATCCCTTTCCTAATAATTCCTAGCATCCTATTTGCCTTTTTGACCGCCGCTGCACACTGTGTGGAAGTTTTCAGAGAACTGTCCACGATAACTCCAAGATCTCTTTCCTGATTTGTCGTAGCCAAATTAGCCCCCATCATACTGTACGTATAGTTGGGGTTATTTTTCCCGATGTGCATTACTTTACACTTATCCACATTAAATTTCATTTGCCATTTTGTTGCCCAATCACTCAGTTTGGTGAGATCTTCTTGGAGTCCCTCACAGTCTGCTTCTGTCTTGACTATCCTAAACAGTTTGGTATCATCTGCAAACTTTACTACCTCACTGCTTACCCCTTTCTCCAGATCATTTATGAATAAGTTGAAAAGGATTGGTCCCAGGACTGACCCTTGGGGTACACCACTAGTTACCCCTCTCCAATCTGAAAATTTACCATTTATTCCTACTCTTTGTTTCCTGTCTTTTAGCCAGTTCTCAATCCAAGAAAGGACCTTCCCTCTTATCCCATGGCCATGTAATTTACACAAGAGCCTTTGGTGAGGGACCTTGTCAAAGGCTTTCTGAAAATCCAAGTATACTATATCTACTGGATCCCCCTTGTCCGCATGTTTGTTAACCCCTTCAAAGAACTCTAACAGATTAGTAAGACAGGATTTCCCTTTACAGAAACCATGTTGACTTTTGTCCAACAAATTATGTTCTTCTGCATGCTTCACAATTTTATTCTTTACTATTGTTTCGACTAATTTGCCCGGTACTGTAGGTGGGGATGAGGGTGATGGTGGGAGCGAGACCAGGAATGGGAGCAGAGTCGGGACTGGGGGTGGGAGCATGAAAGGGGGTGGGACCGGGACCGAGGCCATGGACGGGAACGGGGAGAGGATTGGGACAGGGAGGGGGACCAGAACTTTGGATGGGGGCAAAGGGATGGTTCCCCAGGTCTGGGCCACCGGGCTGCAGCACCTCCTGAATGGGAACCAGGGGGACGGAGGTGGGGAGGGGGCCCGCTCCAACTCCGGGCTCAGATGGCTGGACAGATCATACATCTGAAGCCATGGTGTCAGTTGGAGAGATGTCATTTGTCAGGTCCCCAACAGGGAGGGAAGGCGACCACCCCTTCTCAGAGGTGGAGGAGGGGGCACCCACAAACCCAGGACCCAGCCACTCGGTCCCAGCCATCACCCCTGAGGGCTCAGTGGTCTCAGAGGTGGTGCCTGAGATGGCTGGGCTGATGGGTAGCATTAGGGGCACCCCGAAGGTGAGGGTGGAGGTGGCTGCCCAGGGCATGGGGGAAAATGGGACAGTGCTGAAGGCAGAAAAGGATGGCGCAAGAGAAAGAGGCAGGGGCGCGAGGAGAGGGCGGGGGTTGCAATTGGTGTGGGAAAGGGGAAGCAACCACTCCCTCTCACTAAGTTGTTTGTAAGGAGGGAGGGTGCTAATGGAGGAAGGGTGCACACGGAAAACTAAGGAAGGGGGAAGCTAGCAACCACTCCTCCCTGGGAGGCTAGAACAGAGGAGGAGAGTACCAGAGGGAGGGGTAGGGACGCGAGTGGGGTGGGTCACGATTGGGGAAGAAGAGGGAAGGGGAGGCAACCACTCCTTCCCTCTGGACTGTTTGCAGGAAAGGAGGGTGCTAGCGGAGGCAGGACATGAATGGGGAAGCGAGGAATCGGGAGCCAGCGACCATTCCTCCCTTCAAGGCTGGAGACAGAGGAGAAGGGTGCCGGCAGGACAGGGCAGGGGACACGGTAGCGGGTGCAGGGTGGGGGCCGACTCCTCGGGCTGCACTGGAATACAGGGGAGAACTATGGGGCCACTAAGGGGGGGTGCAGTGTATGGGGGTGTGACCAGGAGGTGACAGCCCCATCCCTGCCTAGTTGTGACTGTCCCCCGACCCCTCTCGCCGGGGCCAGGGTTTCGCCCTCCCAGGTGAGACAGTGCCCACCACCCTTTGGTGTGCTGTCCCGTGAGGCGGGTAGTCAGTTTCTTAAGTAGGATCCTGTGTGGATCGAGTCCTTAACTGGTCGCCTCGCCGGCGCCTTGGTCGAGGGGGGTAGGGAGGCTCGGGCATGCCCCCACTCAGAGCCCCAACCCAGGGCCCTAAGAACCGAAGGAATCTGCCTCCTATGGTTCGGTTGGTGGGGATTAGTTACCCAAAATGCACCAACCCATGGGCAACCTCTGCCATGCCCTGGGTCGCTTCTTACCTCCCTCGGTCAGCCGTCCACTCCCCAGCCGTATCCCAGTCTAGCAGCCCCGGGAGTCTCTTCCACCGTCTCCTCTAGCCGACAGTCTCCTCTCCTCTAGCCGACAGTGCCCTTTTGAATTGTCCCGCTGGCTCAGAGTCTGATGGGGAGAGCAGGGCAGGCGCGGCCAAACATGGCGGGCGGATGCTTTGTGTTTAGAACTTTATGGAAAACTGAGTGTTTACAAGTAAAATGTCATATGTCAAAACAAAGGTTGTTCTTTCCTCTGTGTCATAATTACATGAAAAATATATTTACATTAAAACTCCAATAGTCCAGCATCCAGTTGTCCAGCACTCCTGATAGTCCGGCATCAACTGGAACCCAGAACTGCTCACGTCAGCTGCTCCCATGGCCGGGCTGCTGTGAGCCGCATGCGCGCTCACGGCCCGCCCCATTCCGTTACAGTCCACAGCGCACACAGCGTCCAGCCTGCACATGCTAGCAGCTGGCCACTGAGCACAGGCAGCTGCTTTGGGACCCGGACGTAAGGTTGGGGGAGAAGGGGGATTGGATGAGAGCAGGAAGAGGAGATGTTTGGCTCTGGGGAAGGGAAAGGGATTGGGTCACGCACAGCGTCCCGGCCAGCTCATTGAAAAGTCGGCCGCTCAGCGCACGTGCCCCAGCATCTGGAGGGAGATGCGTGGTTGTACCGGCGGCTCTGGGACTCGAGCATAAGGTAGGGGAGGGGGATTGGGTTGGGAGTATAGTGTACTTATAGTACCTCCTGGTACTCTGGCATATCCAATAATCCGGCACCACCTAGGTCTCAAAAGTGCCAGATTATCGGACGTCTACTGTACATTGTAAAAATGTTTTACTCTTGTAGGCAGTGTACTAATTTTAAAAAGGTGAGTTTGATGAATGAATATAATGCATGTCTGTGAATATAGATGAGTGTACTGACAAGCCTGGGGGAACTGCTCATTACCCATGGTGAGACAGAACTGCACACTTATAACCTTCACATGGAGAAGCAAATATTCCCCTAACACCAGTAGTTTCTCTAGCAATGTTCCTTTTTGATCAAAGGTTCATTATTTAAATCTATCTGGAGAGAACTTTACATTTTCATCAGAATATTTTTTGAAAAGTGTTATTCTCCATTGCTAAAATATGTGTAGTATTTTTTGGGGGGGAGGAAGAGGGGATATTTCTTTACATAACTGGCAAGTTCTCCTAAAGACACATTGTAGGAGAGGAAGCATCAATTTGGTATAAGAGGAACAGAGAGACACCCAGTTACACTTTGTTTCAATCGCATCATACATAAATCCCAGACATGCAAAGGATTTCAGTCTGTCTGCTGCCATACAGACTTCCTGACACCCTGAAATGCCCCAACTAGAATTTCTGCAATTAGTATAAGTAGGCTCCTCCTTTACTGAACTCTTCTTTTCTATTGGTAAAATGTCTTTGCAAGCTCATGTGGGAATCCCACCCCTTCTCTGGATTTTCATTCTGAGTCTATCTACAACTTTACACCTGCCTGAGTGCCAAGCCTCTGTAGATATATAAGGGAAACCTTCCAGAGCCATTTCAGAGTTACAGGAACAAGCTGACGAAAAGGAATTCACCCAGCTCGGTCAGACAGAAACGGAGCAAACATGATTCTCCCTGCGGTTCACTTCTCCGGCTTTCTCCTAATCTGTGTCTTCATGAAAAGCTGTTTGGCTTTCAAAAATGATGCCACGGAGATTCTTTATACACATGTGGCCAAACCTGTCCCAGCGAGCCCTAGCAGCAACAGCACGCTGAATCAAGCCAGAAGCGGAGGCAGGCATTACACAGGCTTGGACCGTCACAGTAAGTATCCGACTGGTATCAAAGGGCTTATCATGCCTGACCAGTGCCACCTTGCTCTTCTTTTTTAACCCATGTTCAGTTTGCGGTACAACAATGCAGTTGTCAGTGAGCACGTTTTCCTAAGTAGTGATTCATAGGAGGGGTCATTTGTATGTAACAAAAACCTGCCAGATGTGTTACAATCCGACCAGCTCTATAGACTCAGCCTGGCATTTTGGCTTTTCCTGAATATGTTTTATTCCTACAGGTTCCGTCACTGTGATGATACATTTAATATCAAATTAAATCTAGGAAGGAAAATATTTTCAGTTTGTCTTTCCTTCCCTCTGAACACACACCCACCAACTTCACTTTAACGTGTGGGCTCACAGTCACATTCATTAATTGACACTGGGAACTCGTTTGATGCTGCTGCAGTGGAAGAGGGGGAAGATTTTAAAAAAATGTGTGTGTGTGTGTGTGTGTGTGTGAGAATGACATTTTAAATATGATCTCTTTCTTAGCTCACTCGCTCTGGCTTTCAGTGTAGTAGTGTGTAGGTTCAGCATCCTGTCTGGGCTGCTTCATGAATGTAACTCTTCCAGACAAAAAGCTTTGATTTTCTTCCAACTTTTTGTTTTTCACTTCCCGGTTTAGCATTTCCCTGCTTAACGCCTCTAGCAAAAGAAAACAAACAGGTTCACAGCCCGTCTCTGCTCCAACTTGCTTTTTTATGTTATAAGGATTTTCTCCTCCCCACTAAATTATATGTATGAAAAGTCCAAGAGCTCCTCTGCCTATGTGGAAATCTTTTCACCTCCCATCCCCACTTCATTAAGCTAAAATGAAAAGCCGACCCACAGTCATTCAGTAAGCAAAGATAAAAACTGATGGCAACAACCTTCAGCAAAGCTAAGGTGTGTCAGCTTTTATAGAATATGGGTGGTTTAACTGCACAGGAAATGTCTCGTCATTATGAGATTACCGGAGCAGCCCAGTAGGTATTCATTGTCAATGAAATATCACTAAAGAAAAACTGAATATCTATATACATAAAAACAAATCAAAGCTGTGATCAGCTGCTTCTAGGTACATTCCTGAGCACAGCTGCAGGGAAGAATGCAAGCTTGGATCATTCAGGGAGTCAAGCAGTCTAGAAACCAGTCATTTTGTAAATCATTGCTCCAGAACAGTCTTCAAATTCCTAATTGCCCAGTATTGTACACCCAGAGGACTTTTACACTGCAACACTTTTTTGGGATAGCAGTATCCCAAAATAGCTATCCTGTTTCTTCAAAGCAAGCCTGTTATTTTGGGCTCGCTATTCCAACGTCCCTGTAAACCTTATTTTATGAGGAATAAGGGATGTTCCAGAATAGCGCTTTATTTTGAAATTTGGTACTGTGTAGACAGCTTATTTCATCATTTGGCACTATTTCAAAATAGCATTGAAATAAGATACGCAATTTGCATAGCTCAAATTGCGTCTCTTATTTCAAATTATGGTGCAGTGTAGACGCACCTCTAGTGAGCAATGGGGAAAGGAACAAGAAGTCTTAACTCAATATCTCTGATTAGAGTTTGATTAAAAAAACAAACCAAAACAGAAGCATCTTGTAACTCTGAAGGGGTGAGGTACCTTCAAACCCTTTTATTAATCTTGTATGGTATCTTCCTAGTGATAATAACTTCCATTTTTAAAAAGCATTAATCTGGACACTCTTGTATAATATGTGTACAGACTCCACTGTAAATTTTATTGAAGAGAGAGAACAGCCAACAAAGGACTGCATATTACCTTAATGTCTACGGGTATGTCTACACAGCAGGGCTAATGTCGAATTAAGCTATGTAACTTCAGTTACGTCAATTGCATAGCTTAAGTCGAAATAGATTAATTTGGCTTTTGGCGCCATCTACACAGCAGGAAGTCGAAGGAAGAACACTGTTCCTTCAACCTCCCTTACTCCTCATGAAATGAGGGTTACCATGAATTGGAGTAAGAAGTCCTCCAACTTGACATTATTTCAAAATAAAGGCTTGCAGTGTAGACCCACACTGTATTAGTAGTTGTACTCTGATTGTAATGACTGAAATAAGCAGTTGTATTTATTGCAGTGAGCAGAGCAGCACATACAAGCAGGCACAAACATGCCTATATTTGCAGCTCTGCATCTTTATACCTTATCACCTTAACCAGAGAACTAAAAAAGTTGCCTCAGGATTTGCTATATTCTATTATGTAAGGAATGCTGCCCACACTAGTATGTTATCCTTAAGGCAGAATGACCAAAGTACATAATTAAACATTTGAACATCATGAGCAGAACATAACACTTCTAACTTTCATTATTTATAAAGCTGTTTTTCTTCAGAACATTAACCTTCACTGGAGTGTAAATCCATAACAAGCATGAAATTTTAAAACAATTCTTCCTTTATTTAAATGCATTAGAATACTTTCCAAAATCCTAAAAACACTATTTTTCACATTAAGGGTCAGAGTTTTGTCTCACATCTGGACCAAATTCCCTTTAAGTACAAGTAAGAGACGTTTTTGCCCCAGGACATTTTTTTCCTCCATGCACCTGACTGGGGCCAGGAGGGGGGAGGAGGGGCAGTGCTAGAATGAAATTGCCTCCTCTCTAGTGACTCTACTGGTTCTGCAGTGCTATGACATAGATATCATTATTTGTACTGTAATAGTACCTCGAGGATCAAGGCCCTGTTATGCTAGATGTTGTCTACATACAGAATTAAAGAATCACTCCCAAAATCTTACTGGCTAAGCCTGTGTCACCAAGTCCTATGCATGCTATGATCAATAGAAAATAACTTGGAATCTGAAGGTTGGCTTAGGATATCTTTTCTTTGAGTCTCAGTGTTCATTGTCCTGTGCATTCTGCAGAGCACGTTCAAGTTGGCTGCCGGGAACTGAGATCCACCAAGTACATTTCAGATGGCCAGTGTACCAGCATAAATCCTTTAAAAGAGCTTGTGTGTGCTGGCGAGTGCCTCCCTTTGCCATTGCTACCCAACTGGATTGGAGGAAGTTATGGAACCAAGTACTGGAGCAGAAGGAGCTCCCAGGAGTGGAGATGTGTCAATGACAAAACACGCACACAGAGGATCCAGCTTCAGTGTCAAGACGGAAGTACAAGAACCTACAAAATAACTGTGGTCACAGCCTGCAAATGCAAGAGGTACACCAGACAGCACAATGAGTCCAGCCACATTTTTGAAGGAACCTCTCAGGCAAAGCATCACAAACAGAGAAAAAGAGCCAGTAAATCCAGCAAGCACAGCTCAAGTTAGAGGTCAGACAACCCTTTCCCCCAAACTGAACTGATCTGTAACTATCTTCTTTACAGATCTGACTGTTTAAAAGACAAGTCTGCTATTGATGTGTTCTCACCTGGTGGTGCATTGCTATGACCAAACTCAAAACATCATTCTGTATATATGGACCTTTTTGGTGATTTTCCAAATGCTCCAGATGGGTAGTTCTACAAGCTTTTCAACCCCGCACAATGAAGTCTTACATTTTTTTGAGGTGTGGAGGCAAAGAATTGTTCCCTTGAACATTTACTGAAATTGTATTTTTTTAGAAAGGTGCTTTGTTGTGAGTTTTCACAGGAACAGTTGATTAACAAACATCTGTTGCCTTCCAAATAACATTTTTTGAACACCAGTAACTGTTGTCAGTTTCATTCTAAGAAAACAATGCCTTGCACACTGATTTTTCTCTTGTATCTCAATTTACCAAAAATTAAAATATGCATGGGGATAATTAAAAAGTACAGTTGAATAAACTATTTATTTGTTACTGTAATTATTTAATGAGCTTTTTACATGTGATTTTTTTTCAAAATGTTAATCTTTTGTTTTATAGCTTTTTCTATGTATCAAAGTATTTTCCTATAATTTTGAGTGGATTAGAATATACATTTTGTAGATAATGTAAAATAGGTGTTCTAACATTCTTGGTGTATATACATATTCATTTTGAACATTAATAGTTTTGAGCTTTATTTTACAAGTAATAACATTTTAAAAACTGTTTTGTACATCATAAGTTCTGCTTATTGTTTTTAAAGTGTGTAATTGAAAGATAGATATGTCTTCCTTTCAAATTCATCTGTTTCTCTGTGTCTTTTTTTTTTTTTTTTTTTTTAAACAAAAATAAACTGCTATGGAGATGTATCGCCTTTGGAGCTCTAACATGCATGAAAACACGCACATTTTAACCAATTACAGCATGCAATCTAATAAAGTGGAATGTTTTACACTACTTGATTTAAAGAAAGTGCCATAAAATATATCTGACAGTGATATTTAGGATAAAATAACTTTTCAACGGATTCCATTGGCTTGTAGAAATCTTGTGTGACTATCTAACAGCTGGTGCTTATTTGTGGTCTAAACCAGACTCATATTTAACAATTCTCAATGTGTACATTGTAGAAAATATGTTTGGGAGGTTTTACAAGCTAATAAAAGCACTCCAGTTTATTTATATTTTTCCTTTATGATTATCAAGTTACAGACTTATGGTAAAAATAGTAATCAGTATAATCTTCCTTCTAAACACAAGTTAGTCCTGCACATTAGTCACCAACTGTTATTGTGAAATATATAGTAAGCAGTCAGCTATTCAACATAGATTGGGAATCATCTCTTCATCATTCAGACTAGATTAAGATTGAGATGATTTTAAGCAAAACTTGAACTCGATGGTTACTCTATAATGGGGTAAACTGTAAGGGCTAGATTCCCCAACCTGCTGCATCATTCTTAACTAGTAGCATTTTATACCCTCTTTGCTCTCACTTAATTGTCTACCCAAGGAATAGGGCAATGAAGAATCTGGCCTTAATAAAGTATGCTGTACAAAACTTCTCTAATATAATATTTGTATCAGTTCATCTTACATTTAAAATTAATAAGACCTAAAACCCAGATTCTATCATATTTTTTTAAGCAGAATTCCTCAAGCAGAATACCTCAAGCTGTTTTTGCACAAGAAAATTTACAGTAAATCAACAGAACAGAAGGGCTACGTATACACTGGCATGATTTTCCGAAAATGCTTTTAACAGAAAACTTTTCCGTTAAAAGCATTTTCGGAAAAGCACATCTAGATTGGCAGGATGCTTTTCTACAAAAGCACTTTTTGCGGAAAAGCGTCTGTGGCCAATCTAGACGCGGTTTTCCGCAAAAAAGCCCCGATCGCCATTTTCGCTATCGGGGCTTTTTTGCGGAAAACACTACTGTGCTGTCTACACTGGCCTTTTGCGCAAAAGTCTTTTGGAAAAAGACTTTTGCCCGAATGGTAGCAGCATAGTATTTCCGGAAAAGCACTGACGATCTTACATGAGATCGTCAGTGATTTTCCGGAAATTCAAGCGGCCAGTGTAGACAGCTGGCAAGTTTTTCCGCAAAAGCAGATGATTTTGCGGAAAAACTTGCCAGTCTAGACACAGCCACGGAGTTTTGCGGTATGGGTATTCCTCTTTCTAGGAGGAATAACTCCTTTTTGCACAAGAGCTCTTGCGCAAAAAGGTGTGTGGGGACGGGAAACAGGGTTTTTGTGTGCAAAATCAGCCTATCGAAAGAAGCACAGGTGCCCTGGTGGCCATTCTGTTAATGGCAATCAGAGCTTTCTTGCGAACGAGCGTCCATGCAGTCTGGACGCTCTTTTGTGCAAAAGCGCATAGCTTTTCCAATGCACTTTTGCAATGTGGACATGCTCTTGAGCAAGAAGTTTTTGTGGAAGATCTCTTCTGCAAAAAGCTTGTTGCGCAAGAAGCCTGCAGTGTAGATGTAGCCCCAGGGTCCCACATTGAATGACACATCACAAAACTCTTTCTAATTACATTTGCTTGCCCTTACCCAATTTTTTAAAGAACACATATGAAGATAACATTATGTATGAGAAATAAGAGTAAATATTCTTGTACTTGTGCTTTTCTTCCAGTTCAGAACTTAATTTTGGAAATGGAAAGAGAAAAAGATGAAACCTACCATCCTATAGAACACGTAGTGCTATATATTTAAGGGAAACATATCAAAATGAATAACCCAGATAGTTTTCTTTAAATTAACTTTGGGTGATCATGGAGAAGCCAGACTAATAGGCCTGGGATAGAAGGCCTGGCTCCTTATACCAAAGCCTCTGTACACCACTCTGGAAGTTTAAAGATCCTGCATTTACATCCAGTTTAAGATCATTTCACATTCTAGGAGTGGTATAAAGAAGTTTTAGTCTAAATGAGAAAATGTTTTTCCACAATATATATATAGCCTGGGCAGCAGTATGCTTCACTATGCTTTCCCACTAAGGGGTCTCAACCTTACTAGAAATACTGTAACCAACTCTCGCACTGACAAGGCAGTTCAGTCTCCATTCCAAATTCAGTCTTTATCTTCTTCACTATGTCTACAGAAGAACAATGACCCTTTGGGTCCTACCAAACTGATGTTTAAAATATGTGGATAGTACCCAGTACTGTTACAGACAATGCCACTATGTCCTATTTAGTTTCTAATACCCTTTTTGAAATTACATTGAAAATGATTTTATTCTTAGACTAGCAGCTAAATTATTTTCAGGACTAGGTTTTTTTTGGAGAGAGGGGAGAGGAGGGGACAACAAAAGAAATCGTGTATAGAAAGGACCAACATTTTATAGTATTTTCTATTAGCAGAAAATTTTTGGTCATGTGGAGACTGAGAACTAAACTAAAACCATCAACACATTTCACAGGGACCACAAAACAGCCATCAGCCACTACATGCAGCCAACACAAACAGGTTATGTGTGTTCTATTACATATTCCTTGATCAATTGAGGAATATGTAATCTACTAAATGGATTACTAATCCACTAAAGTTGCTAGTGTTAATGAAGCTAATCAAATCAGGATGGAAGTGGATCATTCACAGTATTTGGCCTGGAGATGTAAATATCCAGAGAGGAGAAATTTCCTTTGTAATGCGTTAACCAATGGAGATCTTTATTCAGTCCTAAATTGAGTTACTAATCCACTAAATGGAAGGATGGTCTTGTAGCTGAAACTGGATTCAAGCAATCTGGGGTCAATTCCAGGTTTTGGAATCACAGAATCAGGTGTATGAAATAGGGCAATTTTGCCACCTTCTATCAGGTTGAATAGCACCTTACTCATCAATTTAGTCAATGGGACTACTCAAGGAATAAAATGCTATTAAACCTGAATGTGTGTGAGGAAAATTACCCACCATTTGTAAAATAGGAATTATATTTATTTTCTACCCCACAGGAATGTTGTATGACAAATCCATAAATACTTAGAAGCAATTTCCCCCTAATTTTTCCATCAATGTGTGGAATAAATTTTGCTGTGTGCACCAAAGCATTTGTGGATGTGTACCACATGTAAAAAGACATGCTACCAGCTCTAGGCACTGTGCTAATCACCTGGATGGCATTTAAATCCCTCCTGGATGGCCGCCCAGACACTCAGTTTACAGGGAATGCTACAAGGTATGCTCATAGATTACAACCCCATAAATAATTAGAGCAAATCCAAGTCTTTAACATAATATAGAATTTATCTTCTCATTCCTTCATTTTTATCAGTAAGACTATTCCAAATGCTAACAAAATGTATCCATCTTCACACTAATCTTTAGACATACAGGGCACGAATTTTAAATAATTAAAAAAAACTGGTTACAACAGGAGACAGCTGAACTGGAAATCATTTGCAAATTCAACACTATCAACTTAGGACTGAATAAGGATCTCTATGGTTAACGCATTACAAAGGAAATTTCTCCTCTCTGGATATTCACATCTGAAGGCCAAATGCGGTAAATGATCCACTTCCATTCTGATTTGATTAGCTTCATTAACACTAGCAACTTCTCTCTCATATATATTCCTGCTTCTGTAAATTCTACTCCAATTCATCTGATGAAGTGGGTTTTTCCCACAAAAGCTTAAGCCCTAATAAATCTGTTAGTCTCTAAGCTGCCACAGAACTTAGTTTTCAATGAAAACATTAATGTATACAGACATAAGGAGCTTGTACATGAATAAATACAATGTAGAGGCAAATAGGGTCATTTGTGACATGAATAAATAGTGAATTTTCTTCTACAGAACATATAGCAGCTGTCTATATAATATGCTCCTCAATGAGTGGGGTGAGGCGGCCCAAGGCTTTTGAAAATAGTGTTTCTCTGTAGTTATTGTAACATCAGCCTATAATGTAAAGTGATATCTTTCATCTCAATGCCTTCTTTTCATTGGTAAATAAATACTTGTGTCTGACTTCCTGATTGACGGACTACCGGTTACAAGACAAAGGAAAATATCTCCACTCTGATAAAATGTGGGCCCCCTGCAATCCAATGTCTAGAAAAGCAAGTTTAGTTTTACATTTAAAATCTAGTAGATATAAAAATACTTTTAAAAAAGCCTATTTGCATCTTTTGAAAATTAAAGCTGAACAAGTTCAGTACAATCAGGTAAAATAGATCATTATTTCATTACTTTCCCGTTGATGACAATAGCCCACAACAAAGGGGAAATTTGATTTATAATGAATGAAAATCAATTTTTCACAGGCATTTTCAAAACATACTTACCCAGATGTTGATTGTTTTGATAGCACTGTAGCTACTCAGAGGAAAAGGAATGCTGTAGAGTTGAAGTAATAGTGTGTGTGTGTGTGTGGGGGGGGGGGGGGTGTCATTAGAGCATTCTCCATTTTGGAGGTCAAAAGTGTATGACTCCTATAGAACAAAGACTAGAAAGACCTTTAGGAGGTTTATTTATTCACTCTTTAGTAACAGTCATATATCCACTATTCCTTTCTAACCAGCAACCTTGAAATCAGAAGTGCCAAATCCAAGTTCAGTCATTTATTTGGAAATAAAGTAGATTTTTTAATAATACCCCTGGAAATGCCTACCAGATTTCTGTTAGTAAATCACTGTAGTCCTTCTAAACTTGACCTTTACATTCTTCCGAAAGAGGTACGGCATTAATCACAAAGGAATCGCTCAACACATTCCAGAGTGGGATTCATGTTGCTACAGTATTAACCTGGAGGTTTTCAGTAGAAAATTATAAGGAGTTTTCAGTGCTGGAAAGCATTCTCCTCTCATGATGCATTTCCTTTCCCGTAGGCCAAGCGGGGGGCTTTGATTTTAATTTCATTGACATACATGTAAATTTAGCTCCAGGTTAAAACTGAAATTTGTCTACAGATTTATGAGTCAAGCAGACATTCTGTCATTAGATTTGTTCATTTTACTTGCACATCATTCCCACAACAAGAAACCTGCCTGAGCATCTTTCTGAAAGACATCCAACCTTTCAGATCATTTCACAACTAAGCTGCATACGTGGATGTCTTGACACATTAGTTTTCCCCCTACTCTTTGTAAATTATTTTGCCCACTACCTGAAAAATCTCTCAAGACTTCCATTTACAAGTAATTATTCTACTTTTCCTTCTTAATTA